GTTACACATTATTTTATGTTAAGATTTCTTTTTCAATTAATTTCAAAAATTTAAGATAAAATACTATTTGTGGTAAAGATTCATGTTAAATATTAAATTTTTCCTCTTACATTAAAAAATCATAAAGATTATAATACAGAAATTTGTCTCTTATTTATGACATTTTAGTATCACAAACTGTTACTAAACGAGTATTAGATAAGTCAGATGAACCACGTATAAAATTTACAGTGGGGGGGGGGGATTACAAGTAAAAATTATATTTTTAAAAATCCAATTAGTACATTTCACCACGTAATCAAATAATAGGGGCTTCCACTTATCAAGAACAGAGATTTGAGACTAAAGCAATCACAGTAAATAAAAAAATGTGACCCTCAAATCTTTAGTATTTTTAATTTTGTAGAATGTTTTCTCTTTCTTATCTTTAAGCATTCTTTGTGTATATCCTTTATCATAACAATTATAAGTACTTATGCCCAGTTGATGCCTTGTCTTTGCATGCTATTCAAGATCTCTCTTATGGTGCAGTTATTTTTTATTTTAATGTGTCCCAATTTATTAATCTCTCCTTTGAGAGTCCGTGATGTGAGGGTCTTGTTTCTGAAAACATTCCTTGCCCTGAGGTCATAACAACATTCTCATTTTTTTTCTTCAAAGTTTTGCTTTTCACGAACAACAGCGTCTGCATGACTTACACGGCATTTTGTAGAACAGTCGTTCTCCTGCACCATCATTCGTTTGCAAGTATTTACTATCCAAAGACCAGTCAATGTGCGTAATGAAACTGAGGGACTTGTTGCATTCTCCAATTTTCTTATACCGCTGGGCAACCGCATACACGTCGACTGGGCCGTCATTGGATCCCACTGCGAGATAAGAACCATCTGGAGAAAATTTCATTTCATGAATGACTTCTTTTCGATCTTTGATATGAACCACTTCTGTCATATCTCTATAAGAATAAAGAGCAAAGCGATAAGCAGCAAATCTAGAAATAGGAACCTCAGGTCATGTATTAAAGTACATGTGTCAGAGAAAAAAAATGTTTGAAAGGAAGTACCTATAGGAATTAGAGAATTAACTTCTGAAAAAAGATATATAACTTTATTTAAAGTTTACAGCCAATTTAGAAAAAATTAATAATATTTTGGGCTTTCAAAGTAAGAACCAAAATTTAATGAAATGCATATTTGCTTTCATATTAAATTATATATTATTTTCTCTAAATTTTTTGTTAAAAAATTGAGGTTTATAAAATTGTTTTAAAATATGTCATGGAAAATAGTAGATATATTAAGGTTAGCATAAAAATAAAACATCCTTTTTATATTTTAAGGACAAGAAAACTGCTTAATGCTTTTTGCTACAGGAAGAGCAAATTCAAAAAGCAGAAGAGAAAAATTACTTATTTTTAATGCTAATTTGTTATGGAATTATTTAACTTTGACTATGAAAGGGCAATAATGCATACATTGAATCACCGAGTATCGTATGTCCTTTCTGACCAGATTCTGATAAGAATTTCTGCCCTCATTTGAAAGTCCACTGATGGTTTTCCTACAACAGTGAGGCAGGATTATGATTGGCAGGTCCCCTGAGCCAGTAATGACACCTTCATCAACTCCAAAACAAATTGAATGCATAAATAATGCCAAATATTTGCTCCACATAATTCCTCACACCGGCTGTCACTTAATAATAGCACTACAGTTTACTACAATGTCATAAAATAGGTGTGTGTGGAGGGGGGATGGTTTTTTTTGTTTTTGTTTTTTTGGCTTGGAAATCTATTAAAAAGAAAAGAAAATCTGATAATTAGCCATCTTTCCACACATCACTAAGCAGAGAAAGAAAATGTTGCCCACCAATTTGGTCATAAGTTATGTGTGACTGGTAATGAGAATTCAGTGTAATAAACCGTGCCAAGAGCATTTTTCAAAGCTATCTAGAATTTGCTCTGTGCAAAACATGCCATACCTAATTTCTGGCTGCATTTCCTTTCTGTAATCACAAAATGGGTGAGCCAAAAGAACAGCCAATGCATTTAGAGGAATTACAAGGGTGGATCCTAATTTTTATCCTGCAAAAATTATATAGGAGATTAATAAAGTATGAAATATTCTATCTTATTGTCCATTGTGGGTGGAAGAAATATTTTACGCAAGCTCACCTCTAACAAGCTGGTGCTGTTGGAGGCTGCTCTGTTCCTGCTTCCTCTTTTCTTGGCTTACTCCAAGCACACAATCCCTCCTCTAAAACCTGTGAGACCAGATCAGCTTGGGAATTCACTATTCACTAGATTTTTTTAAAGGTTCACACATAATATGCCATGTAACATCACCAGTAGGGACTGGGGCAGCACCCTGTTATTAAACACATTCATGTTTTTGCAGCAAATCACAGGATGCATGATTATTCCTGCTAAGAGATGAATAGACTACATATAGTCTCACATCTGTCCACTGAGGCAGGCTGTGCTGCCAAGCAAGTCACCGAAGAAAGAAGTTTGTATTTTCAGAGTGTGGGTTTCATCATTACCGACGGGACTGTGAATCTGTAGTGTTCCTATTTGAAAGAATAAGTGCATTTTTCCTAAGATCCCAGCATCCATGATGACTAGGCGAATCTTAATTCTAACAAAAGAGCATCCTTTTTTTTTTTTTTACTTTTCTTTAAATATTTTTCAATTACAGTTTACATTCAATATTATTTTGTATTCGTTTCAGATGTACAGCATAGTGGTTAGACAATCATATACTTTACAAAGCGGTCCCCAATATTTCCAGTACCTACCTGACACCATACATAGTTATAACAATATTACTGACTATATTACCTATGCTGTACTTTACATCCATGACTATTTTGTAACTACCAGTCTGTACTTCTTAATTCCTTCACCTTGTTCATCCAGCCCCCACCCCCTCTCCCATCTGGCAACCATCAGTTTGTTCTTTGTATCTACGCGCCTCTTTGGTCATTTATTTTACAAAAGAGCATCTTTTAATACCATTTTCAGTATCAGTACATGCCTGACTCGGAGAACAATGAAAGAGCCGTCCTTCATGCCCAGGGCCAACTGGGACCCATCGGGGCTGAAAGCCACACTGCGAACTGCTTCCTCCATGTTACAGCGGGCGATCAAGGCGTGGTCAGCCAGGCTCCACAGCCTAGGCACAAGAACAAAGAAACAAAACCAACCCAACGCTCATCAGCAGGCCGCCCGAGGCAGGAAGGCCTGCTGACCACAGTGTGATAACAAGAAAGGAGGCAGTCACTTCGCACTCGTGTCCTTCCTCACGGCATGTCTGGGAACCCGGGATGGGGTTCAGTCTATCTCTGGGTCATTTCCCCCATTAGAAATACCCAGCAAGAAATACAAGATAACATTTTCCAAACATTTTTATATTCATATGAAAAGGAAATTTTAAACACTACCTTCACACAAAATCTTACTTTTCTCTTTGAAAATTAAAAATTGTTCTTTACTCATACCAATCGTTATTAATAACTTACAGGATAAGAAGCACTACTAGATACTATTATTGTTCATTTTTAAAAAATATATATATGAGCACCCTTCTAGTAACTGTGTTATTTAAGCACATATAGATTGAAATACACATTCCGTTTTGCTGGCCCCCCCTAGAAAGAAAACCCAGCTGAGAAGGAGAAGAGCCAATGACAGCCCTGCCCACGATGGTTCCAAAGTCAGCTGTGCTCAGTCATATGCCATCCTTCCTCATAAGCTCCCTGGGGGCCCCACTGCTGACAGGCCCACTCATGGCCGGGACAGGTCCTCTCCACAGTGCCCCTGGCTGGTAAGCATGTTACTGCTGAAGAAGCAGGGGTCAAGGGTCAAGTGCAGCTAGCACACACTTTTCTTTTTTCTTTTTTTAAAATATATTTTATTTTTTACAGAGAGGAAGGGAGAGGGATAGAGAGTTAGAAACATCGATGAGAGAGAAACATTGATCAGCTGCCTCTTGCATACCCCCGACTGGGGATGTGCCCGCAACCAAGGTACATGCCCTTGGCCGGAATCGAACCTGGGACCCTTCACTCTGCAGGCCGACGCTCTATCCACTGAGCCAAACCAGTCAGGGCTAGCACACACTTTTCAGCAGCTCTGGAAACCCCTATTCCAGGCACCTCAAACTGGGTAAACATGAACTAGTTTTTTGAAGCTACAAACCAGGGTTTACATGTGAATTACAATTGTGGTACCTGATTTCACCCTGTTAGTACTTTTAAGACAGTCTTCTCTTAACACACAACCAGCATCTGTTAGGCAGATCGACAATTTAGAATGCTGCCATAGAGGCAAGAGTAGGCCCCATGTGGTGGAGTTTCTCTAATGCATTCTGTCATCGGGAGGGAGGGGGCCAGCGCCTTACAATGCAGAGTTGCATGGTGAATAGTTTGCTGATCCTTTAGGCAGCGTGCACTGTTCAGTCTAAAGCTTATGGTATTCTTTCAATCCCTCCTCGTCCATTATTCATAATCTCATGCTGTTTTTAGCCATGTACTATTTTCAGCAATGTAAGTTTTGCTTTCCCCTCACTCCTCAGTGAACTGTACTAGCCTCACTCAGCTAATCTTTCTCGAGAAATTATGACTTGTATCCTTTCTGTATTTCCATACTCTGTGTAAATTTACATTTAAAATGTAAAATGTTTAGATGTTTAGTCAAATTAATGGTTGAGGAGACCAAGACAAATTCTGGCCATTAGGGCTCCTTGGGGAAGTTTGCGATTCTGAGACTCAACACATTTATCAAAATACAAAAGCCAAGGACTCTCTTGAAAACATTTCCATCTGGATGGTTATGAATCCAGCTCCTCAGGTGTTTGACTAACTTGGTGGCATTGTTTTGGCTGTTGGGGCAAAGCTCTGAGTGATGGAAGGAAAAGGAAGAGGAGAGGAGAGAGCGAGTGAAGAGCAGTGTAAGCCAAACACACATTTATGTCACGTGAGGGGACAACTGGAGTTGCCTTCACTGATTTTTAGATTGATGAGGCACAGTGCTTGGCAGAAGCTAAAAATTGATTTTTAGATTGTACTTTACTGACGAGTATACAATTGTATCTTGATCAGATTCACAGACATACAAAGTAAGGGCAGGGGTCGGGGAGCAGGAGCCTCTGGTCTAATTTACAAGGTTCTATTTAAACTATTAAAATCCAGAGGCAGTCATCATCCAATCGCTTAATCAGTCTCTTCCTCTCACCATCGCTCAGTCTTTTTTGACCTGTTTGTTGTTAAGCACATTTAAAGCCTAATTAAATATGAAAATCCTGAAATCAGTGTAATAGTCTTCACCTTACACTTTTAAATAATATGTTCAGTCCTTTAACAGTCACACAGATATTGGGATCATACTAATTTGCTCAGTTTACATGATGTCATGCTCTCAAAGAGGAAAACATGATCCATCGCGAGACCCTTTGGGGTCCTAATAAAACCACAGACTTTCTCGGGAACCAGCACTTTCCTTTGACCTGAGGACACTGTTCAAAATTTCATCTGAGAAATTACAAAGAAATCATTATTCACCCACGTGCTGAAGACAACTTTGCAAATCACAATGTAAGTTCTAATGGTGATGAGTGAGTGACTGAGCCTGTGAAATTGCCGTGCAGGCCCCGGCCATTTAAGCACATATTAGGAGCGAAGGTATAAGGGGAAGATGCTGGTAACACACAGGAGTGCACTTAGCTCCCAGAACCAGAAGCCAATCTCACCAGCAGTATTTTCACTTCTAAGAACAATTTCATGACTTAGGATGGAGCCAAACAAAGACAAAATACCAAGAAGTCAACCGCTGTTGAGCTCATTGTCTTCACATTCCATGTGGAAACTGTGTGGCTCTGCCCTGTGGCTTAGCCTGTTCCTGGGTAACAAGCAAATTTGGCCCAAATAAATCTGTTATCCCAAGGAAGTCAGGGAGGTGACGATGGCCACCGCGGGGTCCTCACCTGACAGAGCGGTCGTCGCTGCCAGTCACGGCCAGCGGCTTCTTGGGGTGCAGGGCCAGAGCCCAGAGCTCCCCCTCACAGTGGCCTTGCAGGATCAGCATGGGCTTGTCTCGTTCTCGCACAATCACCTCGAATATCTCGCTGTCCTGGGTCCCTGCTAGGAGGCGGTCTGCTTTCCAGCACACGCTCCGTATGGAGAGGCCTGGCAAAACCAGAGATGGCAAACAGAAGCAGGTCTTCACATCACTTACAAATAAGAGAAAACACCTAAAGTAAATATCTTTCACTAGGACAGCGGCCAATGCAGCACATCTTAATTCCGGGGGGGGGGGGGGGGGGTAAATCCACATACCAGTCCCTGTTACTCCCTGTTACTCACCAGTTCCTTACATGTGCGGGTCCTTTCTCCCACCCCTGGAAATCTATTCTGCAAAAGCGTGTTCGCTCTTTCCTGTCTGACTTGGGATAATTATCTGCTTTTACAGCTGGATATTCATTTTAAGGGGAGAAATTGGTCTTTATGAAAGCCTAACCCTTTTAAAAATTATTTCCTTTTGAGTTGCATGGAAAAGTTAATAATCACTTCTCTCTTTAGGATGTTAACATTGCATTAAAATTATATGGGGCGGGTACTACAGAATGGTTAACTATCCTATTAGGCAAGTTTAATACGTATTTGATCAGAACCCAGACTCATTTTGTGGGATAACAGATGCACCGTGTCCCAGAAATATGCAAATGAAACTCTAATTTCAGTCTCAAAATATCATCAAAACATCAAACAATTGATGGAATCTTCTCTAAAAGCACAGTGTTCCTTTTAAATCCAAACTTCCACCTCTGTCGCATGACCCCGTCTTCTTGCCCTGCAATGAGGGTGACCTCTCAAACTTCCTGCAGTCTGTCTGTTCCTTACTGGGTTCATTATGTATTTATTCACACAGTGAAGTTTCTCATGTCTGAATTAGAAATACAGAAGCAATCCCACTTTCATAACTACTTTAAACCAGGTAAGGATGTGATAGGCTTTGAGTCTTTAATGTAGAACAAGCATGTCAAACTCGCGGGCCACATGCCTTGTTTATTTGGCCCGTGTAGCCTTTGAGTTTGACATGCTTGCTGTGGAAAGTACAGAAGTCAGAACACCTGGGCTTTAACTCTGCTCTACACCCGACTGGCCACACACGTAAGAGTCACTTTCTCTCTGGGACCAGGTTTTCTTTCCATAAAATGTAGACTATAATCCTGGAGACCTTGTAATTTATCATCAAAATTGGAACCCAATAAAAGTAAAAAGAAGGTCCTAAAAAAAATTAAATTCACATAATTTTCAAATCTATTTTAACCAAGAAGGTAGTTGTATGATACTGAAAGACTGATGTATTAACTAGCTCTATTAAAATACTTTTAATATTAAATTATAATACTTCATTACAAGATAAAAAAAAGTCTAAAACAAAGGGATAAATAGGCAAAGCACAGAGGATTTTTAGGGCTGTGAAACTATTCTGTAGGAATAATGCTAGATATATGTTAGATGTATGTTGTTATACATGTGTCAAAACTCATAGACTATACAACACCAAAAGTGAACCCTAAGGTAAACTCTATAGGCTTTGGGAGATAATGATGTGTCAATGTAGGTTCACCCATTATAACAAATGTACCACTCTAGTGGGAGATACTGGCAGTCAGGGAGGCTGTGTGTGTATGGGGTAGGGGACATATGAAAAATCTCTGTAAATTCCACTCAATTTTGCTGTGAACCTAACTGCTCTAAAAAAATAAAGTATTAAAAAAAAATTCAGGGCAATGTTAAACCAGACGAGATGCTGAGACGACAGTAAGGTTAATTGGGAGAGGGGGCATATGGATACTCTATAATTCCAATCTTAACTCATGGCGGTCTCAAACAAATCAAATGAGATAATTCATTTACTGATGAAACAGTAGTTTTTAAAGCACAAAGCTATTTTCACATGAGATAACTCTCTTTATTCCTTGCTCCGAATTCACTGTTATGAGTTTTAAAAGGGAAGGAGCTAGCACATAGGCAGACATTATTCCTGCTGTGAGGAGGAAGTAGAAATATCTTGACAACGGCTAGTTCAGGGTCAGATCTTTAGCTAGAGTTACACAGAAAAAAGAGAGAGGACTCAACATTACAAATGAAAAAGATATTACAACTGATTCCACAAAAGTCCAAAAGATGATAAAGACTGCTATGAACAATTATATGCCCACAAATTGAACAATCTAGAAGACATGCATAGTCCTAGAAACATATAAGACTTCCAAAACTTAATCATGAAGAAATAGAAAATAAGAACAGACCAATAACGAGGAAATTGAATCAGTAATAAAAAAAACCTCCCAACAAAGAAAAGTCCAATACCAAATGACTTCACAGTCAATTCTACCAAACATTTAAAGAAGAGTTAATTAATTAATCAATAAGTCAATCCTTCTGAACCTCTTCCAAAAAGAATACCAGAGGAGGGAACACTTCTAAACTCATTTTAGGAGGCCAGCATTCCCCTGATACCAAAACCACACAAAGACACTACAAGAAAAGAAAATAACAGGCCAATACTCTTAATGAATGAACATAAATGCAAAAATCCTCAACTAAATATTAGGAAACCAAATTCAACAAAACACTGAAAGGATCTTACAGCATGATCAAAAGGCATTCATTCCAGGGATACATGGATGATTCAACATTTGCAAGTTAACCACTGTGATACACCACATTAGCCAAATGCAGGATAAAAATCATGGTCATCTCAATAGATGCAGAAAAAGCATTTATCCACAGTAAACATGAGCACATCGCTTCTCCCCATGGCCTCCCACACTGTGTCCAGTCGCTTAGGCTAAATGACTTGAAAAAACTAAAATTTCTCCCAAAGAGCTGGCATTGTATTTGGTCCAGTGTATAAACATTTAATCTCTCCATCACCCTCACTATTTTTTACCATCTTGTGTTGGGGAACTAATTCAGAAGGTACAAGAATATAACAAACAACCTACCACCTGGAATGAACAAATGCTAACACTTTTAAAATATCTGCTTTGTCTTCCTTTTTTTAAAAAGAGGTTTAGGAACAAAGAAGAACCTTCCAATCAGCCAAGACTACTGAGCCAGTTGAGTTACACAGCATCTCCAGACTGTGCCCAGGGAGCTCTTGGGTTCCCCAGAGGAGCCAGCAGAGAGCGAGGATGGGAGAACTCAGGGCCCAGAGTCTGAGAATCCCACCCGTTTTCCCCTCGGAGCCTCCTAATCTGCGTTACAGGAGGTTTCATTTGAAAAAAAGGGTTCCCCTGAACCAACCAACGTAAGGAGGAAGCTTCACACAAGGCAAAGGCAATGAAGTCAAATCGATATAAATACAGAGAGGGAGGGAAGGGGAGATAGTGAGAGTTGTTCCATTTTCATTGTTTACAACATAAACTTAATGAGCTGTGAACATTTTCTCTCAGAAACCAGCTCAGGCTCTTCACAAACACTCAGTTCCTGGAACAGATACATTGCGTTTTGTCACATCAGACAAGTCAGCCCCAGGGGTCCACCTATGACAATACATAGGACACCGCCATTCTCACTTTCTAAATAACCATTTCAGGAGAAATTGCTTCCTGAAGACACCTCAGGAGGTGGAGAACTGTATTCAAGTTTCCTAATCACGTTCTGTTTTCACCATTTCTGAACCTAACTGCTGCTCTGCATGCAAGCAAGAGTGACGAAGAGAACAGCTCGGTCTCTTCTGGGCACATTCTGGAGAGCCCCTGGGGAAGGGCAGGTCCCTGGCAAGATTCTGAGAGCATTTCCCTTCTCTGCCTACCCATCTGGCTTGGTTTTAACGTCTCCAACATCAATGCAGAGAACAGTAATATAGTCTCCTAGCCAGGCTGGCCACTGCATTGGGAAATTATTAAGCTGTCTTTGCTTCATTATTTTCTGCTCTGGGAGTCGGAAAAACACAAGGCAATGTTTAGAATATGGTTATAAATCCCCAATAGTGAAAAGAGACCCAGGAAGAACCATTCTAGTTATTTAAAACCACAGAAAGGCTCTTTTGTTCTGGAAAGGTGCATGTTTAAAGACCTTTGCCAGTATGAACTGAAGGTATTGTGCTGAATTTGTAAGGTGTCCACATCTTGGACACCATCGCCTGATCTGCAGGGTTGCTTTCTCTGTAGCTCATCCTTGAGAATGTGGGGCTCTGGCCTGTGCTGGGTCCAGACTGCCAGCAGACGGCAGTAGAGAGCAACCACCCACTTAAAAAATCCTCCAAGACCAAATTCTCATCAGTCCTCTGCCCAGTTTTACATTCAGATCAGAGAGTGGGAAATAGCGTCTTTCTAATCCTCTCTGTGATAGCCCTGAAACCCAGGGATGGGGAGATCTAGAGTCCAGGAATATCATGAATATTAACACAGACTTAAAGGACATTGTTTATTTTCCATTAATTCATTGAATGGTTAAGGACACAGACTGGATTTATATTCCAGCCCCATTCCCTCCCAGCTGTGTGACATGGAAAGCTATTTAATCTTTCAAATCTTCAGTTTCCTCATCTGTAAAGTGGAGAGAACATTAGGCCTCACACTTCATAGCATTGTTATAAAGATCCAACACAATAATATATTCAAAAACTTCACCCAGTATCGGCACTTAGAAAATTAACCAATAACTATAAGTTATTGTTATTTTAAGCAGAAAGTTTTGGTGCTTTGTTGGGGTCTTTTGATTAGTTTTACATTTCAATGGAGAACCACCTGCTGCACACATGGTCAGATTCTGGCCCAGGGAATGATCTGCACCAGGAGCTATGAAGAAATTGCTGCATGTGCCTCCTTGTGTTATAACTTACTTGTCGATTATCATGCTGATACGCCAGCACTGCAGACTCTCAGAAGGAAAGGCTATGGTCCAACACACAAAAGAGAGAAACTATTTTGGGAATAAAAATGGCTTTTCCCCGAAATTATTTGGCCCAGGAAGGGAAGACTGGCAGCAGGGAGGGAGTTGGTACTTATTAGTGATCTTAAATCTGGTGCTCCTGGGCCTGGCATATGGTAAAAGACCCAGAGCAGCTGCTCTACCCCTTCCTGGGCCGCGGATTCTACATGGAAAGTGTTTTTAAAATACAGATGCCTGGCTCCCACCCAGCGTTCCTCTGGTGGGTCTAGAGGAACCGCAGCTCCCTGGGGCTGAGAACCACGTGTTGAGAACCACTACCAAGCTGTTCCCCAGACTTGTTGAAAATGCCAGATTGTTGAAAATGCTGGTTTCCAAGCTCCAGCCCCAGGTGATTCTGATATAGTGATTCTTCAACTACATGTTGGAAAACTCCACCCTGATGCATTAGAAAACCCAAAGATGGCAAAAGAAAATGCAACTTTCAGAAGCTGATCTAGTCAAACAAGCCCTATGACTGGGGATGAACATCCTCACTGACATTACTCAGCCCTGCACCCAGAGCTCTATGCACAAGCCCGGGAATGCTAATAGCAACTCAGGAGCAGGCCCTAGGGCAGTGATGGCGAACCTTTTGAGCTCGGCGTGCCAGCATTTTGAAAAACCCTAACTTAACTCTGGTGCTGTGTCACATATAGAAATTTTTTGATATTTGCAACCATAGTAAAACAAAGACTTATATTTTTGATATTTATTTTATATATTTAAATGCCATTTAACAAAGAAAAATCAACCAAAAAAATGAGTTCGCGTGTCACCTGACACGCCTGTCATAGGTTCGCCATCACTGCCCTAGGGACAGCTCAGGGCCCTAGATGGAGCCAGTAAACACCTGTTGAATAAAGGAGGAAATTACAGCATAGAAACTTACATTATTTTCCCAAAGTCCCACAGTGGAAACAGTTTGCTGAAAATCTATACAGAAAAGGCAAGAGGATGACAGATACCTTGCAGAAGATTCCTATGAGGAAGAACCTGTAATTCTAGAATGCAAAGTGAAATCTACCCTGAATATACTGGGAAGCAATCAATCATCAGGGATAAATGGGAAACGTTAGAATTATTTCAAGCCACAGAGACTGAATCTGTCAAAACCTAACAAGAATATGTCAACAAATATGGAAAACAAAACAATGGCCTACGGACTGGAAATATTCAATATACATCCAATCTTCAAGACGGAGATGCCAAAGAGTGCCATAGAGGGCCACTGCTCTGATTTTCCACGCAAGCAAAGTGATGCTTGAGGTGGTGCAACAAAGGCAACACCTCATATGGATGCAGAAATGCGACATGTTGGAGCTGGATTCAGAAAAGGAAGAGGCACTCAAGACCTAATTGTGAACATTTGTTGGATACTAGAGTTCTCTAAAGAATTTCAGAAGAAGGTTAGTATGTGTTATAGACTATTAGACTATGAAGCCTCAGACTGTGTAGATCATGAAAAGCTATGGGTTGCTACAGATGCCTCAGCATTTGATTTTCCTGTACTGTGGACAGGAGGCTACTATCAAGATGGAATATGGGGAGACAGAATGGTTTCCTCTACGCAAAAGTGATAGACAAGGGTGTATTTTATCTCCCTGATGTTTAATCTGTACACAGAGCATATCATTAAAAAAACTGGACTAGATTCAGGAACGAGGAGTGACAATTCCTGAAAGAATTACCAATAGCTTAAGATATGCAGATGACATCATCTTACTGAAAGAAAGTAGCAACGGTTTGAAACAACTTCTGATGAAATTCAAAGAAAAAAGTGCCAAAGCAGGACTGCATTTGAACATCAAGATGACAAAAATCATGACTACAGAAGAGATATACAACTTTAACATAGATAATGAAGGCACTGAAATTGTTAGAGATTTTTCTTTCCTTGATTCAGTCATGAAATCAAGATTGCAGCCAGGAAATCAAGAGAAGGCTGAGACTCAGAAGGGCAGCGATGGAAGAATTAGGAAAGATCCCCAAGAGCAAAGATGTGTCATTAGATGACCAAGGCTAAGACCATTCATACCCTCATTCATATTCCCAATTACTATGAACAGATGCAAAGATTGGACAGTGAAGACGGCTGATAGGGAAAAAAATTATTCATTTGAAATACGGTGTTGGAGGACAGCTCTATAGACACCCTGGATCACTAGAAAGATTTACAAGTGGATCCTAGAGCAAATTAAACCTGAAATATTGCTGGAGACAAAAATGACAAAACTGAAGCTGTCCTACTTTGGACACATTATGAGAAGATGGAGTTCTTTGGCAAAGACAATAATTCTGGGGAAAAATAGAAGGCAACAGACAAAATATGAGATGGATTGACTCCATAAAGGAAGCCACAGGCATGAGTCTACAGGAGCTGAGCAGGACTGTTGAGGACAGGACTTTGTGGACATCACTCATTCATAGGGTCACCAAGAACCGGAGTTGACTCAATGGTGCCAAACACACATAAATGAGGAAATTACAGCAGAGAAAGTTTCAATTATTTGCCCAAAGTCCCAGAATGAGCAAGTGATACAGATAAAAGGAGAATTCAAGCGGTGGAAGCCTGGAAAGAACTCTCTTCCCCACAAAGTTATTTCCTTTCTCTGGATGTGCACCCAGGACATGGTATCAAAGATTGAACAGGACAAGGTGATGGCTTTCTTTTTTCTGTCAACCTAACCTTATTAAAGATGTAGTACTGACGAGCCCCTCAACAAAGAGGTAAAAATAAAAGAGTGAGAGGAAGAGAGATTTCACTCAGACAAAGATTGGAAGGTGGGAGAGGGTGAGGAAAAAACAGCAGGGACCTCTGAACCCCCTCCCCCTTGCCTCCCCTCATTAAAGGGGTAGCTGAAGCCACTAAGGAGGTGAACCGGGGGCTCCTGGCCCTGCCTGTGGTTCTGGTGCTGAAGAGTAATGCTAAAAGCAGAGTTTGGGAACCTGAAGGAAACAAGGCTTCCCAGAGATTCCTGAGCACCGATGACTGGGGAACAGGACTGGCCTTATGATTTGTGGGGCCCAATATAAAATGAAAATGTCAGATCTCTTATTTAAAAAAAATGATTAAGAATTTCAAGGTAACAACAGCACAAAACCAGATCTCCTGCCCGGGGAGCCAGCCCTGCCTGAAGGATCACATTGCATCCTGTACGCAGAGTGCTTAGCACAATGGTCGCCATCCAGTACTGGAGCTGCTGCAGGAGAGTCGCAGGGCTCTCCAAGGGCTGGGCAGGAGCTGGTCCTAAACAGGACGGCAGGTCGCCTGCAGCACCAAGTGCCCATGGCCTGCTGCTACTGTTTGCAAGGGTCTCTGCCTGCGAATTTCTAGCAGAACCTGTAGAAAGCTGCTCTCTACAAAATCTGTTCTATTTCAGCATCTATAGGATTCAAATTCTATAGTCACAGGAACTCCACACAGCCTAAGGGGACCTCAGAAGATAGAGACACACCACTAGACCTGCTATGTCCCACCTCGGGGAAGGACCACCCAGACAGGTTTTTATTTGAGGCCCGCCTGGGAAGGGGAATTACTACCAGAACAAACCAGATGGTCAGCCTCTTGGAACGTTCTCACACCACATTCCACACCACAGAGCATGAACAAACACCACCACATGCAGCCCCTCCAGGCACTCCTCGCCATCTCCAGCACCTATGCATGCTCCTCTGATGCACCTCCACTTTCTCAGCACAACAGTGAGGCAGGAGGCATGGCCCAAAGGACAACGGTGGACAGACAGGGAGACAGGTGATGGAGGCAATGGGAGCAGAGGTGAGGCATGAAGCCACTCAACGGACCGGAAGAAGAATCGGATGTGCTTGCTTCGTCTCTGTTGGAAACAAGGCTGTTCTCAGATTGGAGAATTGCTCTTTTGAATGTTCTATACCAGGGGTCCTCAAACTACGGCCCGCGGGCCACATGCAAATACAAATATTGTATTTGTTCCCGTTTTGTTTTTTTACTTCAAAATAAGATATGTGCAGTGTGCATAGGAATTTGCTCATAGTTTTTTTTAAAACTATAGCCCGGCCCTCCAACGGTCTGAGGGACAGTGAACTGGCCCCCTGTTTAAAAAGTTTGAGGACCCCTGTTCTATACCAGGGTTTCTCAGGCACAGAGAGAGTTGGAGATCTGCTCACGTCCCTATTGCTGGTTCTTGAGGGTCAAGCTTGAACACGGCAGGTTGACACAAAGACGAAGGGGCTGCTAGGCCATCCTAAAAACGTTGGCTCTTTTTCTGAGGAAAATGGAAACCATCCCAGGGGTTTGAGGAAAGGAATAATGTGATCTGGCTCGTAAATGTCAAACAATCCCTCTGGCTGCTATTCTGAGAATGATGGCTGAAGCAGGAACACAAGCTATAAAGCAACTGCAGGGATCTATGTGAAAGATGGCGGTTCAGATCAGCGGGTGGGCAGCAGAGATGCTGAGAAGTCTAAGAAGGGGCATCCTGGATCTTGGAGACTTCAGCCTCCTCACTCTTGCTCAACACTAAGGGAATGCTGATTGGCCTAACGCAAAGTATCTCCAGATACAGAGTTTATAGTCATTCTACACAGCAACAATTCAACAAGTATGTATTGGAAATTAAAACAAATACACAAGACTCCAATAAAATGCCTGAAGCATGCTTTTTAGAAGAGCCCATTCAGTTTGAGGCATGTATCTGACACTTAGTAGATACTTACTAAGTGTATACTGAATGGATAAATAAATGAATAAGACGCCTTATACTGTGTGAATAATTACTGTATTCTTTTAGACATAATCATTTACAGCCATTAATTCAAAGTATTTTATCACCCTAGATGTAATTTATTTTAGTTGACTTGCTTTAAGAATTATTTTTGGCTTCCCTTGCCACCACTATAAGTCATTTACACTTCATTATTTTACCCAGATCATAAATTTGTGTTAAAAAATGACCAGACTCGGCATGCACTGTTATTAAGTTAGGTGTGAGATTTGACCTAGATCCCTTTGTGGAATAAGATGAGTACAGGAAAACCAATACAGAACTTCACCTTGCATTTAACACTCAGAGTTATGGGTAAGCACAAATACATATATTACCTTTATATCCTTGTTCTGTCTCCCTGAGATCAATTTTGGTTATTGGTTTGAAATCAGTATCCCATAACCGTATACACCCGTCACGTCCACCAGTGGCGAAGCCTTCATCGCAAGCATACATGCTAAAGATTCCAGCCTGGAAATAAGGCAGATAACACTCAATGCTGCCATCATTCTGAATGTCACTGCAGTTGGGTCTTGATTAAAAATCAAGACAAAAATAAAAACAAATTTCTTGTTCTCTATTGAAATCCTGACAACACAACAAGCAGCCATTTATAATATCCTTTATTTTTTAGCTAGATTAAAAATTAATCATAATAACCACCAGAGCAAACTAGTTCAAGAGCTCCTTTGCCACTACTAAACTGATTGCAGGTTGTAAGAAAATTATTCAGAATTCCTTGGATATGGAATTCATAAATTCCTTTACATGACAAGTGATCGTTATAGAGAAAAGATGTGACAATGGGTCACTACAAAGAAAAGTAAGACAACAATGGAGGTATTTACTATAAATCGCTAGCCAAATAATTAAGTAAAAAATATCCAGCTGAGACCATAAACACTTCTACAGGTACAAGCTTGTCTCAATGAATATAAATTACTGTGGTGTTGGCTTAAGCATCATTGAAGATGCCTTTTCACATCTGAAATAGTTTCATAATTTAAAGATGCTTGTCTACAGGAAAATATTTTATTTGGTCTGCTTAAAGTGCTACAAGCGAATAATGTTGACCTAAGATCTAGAGTAAAGAGAAATTAGGTTACTAAGGTAGCTATGAATGAGTACAAATACTGATCTCTTAATTGTTTTAAAAGCAGTTTAAAACATAATAATCAAAGCCAAGAAAAATTGCTCTAGAACATACAAGGTAATGAAAGATCTAAAATTTCATAGCTCTTTTGCTAAGAGTTGCTTAAACTTTTCTTCCTATTATAAAATTATAATAATAGGGGATAAATTTGGAGGCAATAAGCCAATGACTCAAATTTCCAGTAACATTTTGCCACATCTCCACTTACTACAAATAGGCTTTACCATCCACATCATCTTTATTTTATCATCTGTAGACACAGCAATGTAACCATTTTAATATATGTCAAAACTGAGCAGAGTGGTCAGAAGTAAAGTTTGCCCTGTTCTTACACAGCAGACCATCAAAAGAGAGTTTGTCAATGGTTTCTGTTTGCATTTTAAGACTTGTGATGTGGACCTAGAAGTGAGGGAAATCTACTTTATTAATCAATGTAAAAATAGTTGTCTCCATCCTTGCTAATCAACGTATGGGCCACAGTGACATCATCCCAGGCCCACTGAGTCAGAGTCTGCATCTCAACAAGATCTCCCGGGCCATTTGTAGGCACAGTAGAGTTTGACAAGTGCTGGTCGATACGATGAAACTGATGATGAAATTGTTCTAGTCTTCTGTGGAGCTACTGCGGATGAATAACAACCCTAACCAGTCAATCGATAATTGAGGTGAAGGCCAATTAAATTATGATGCTTTTGAAATATTTCTTTTAGGGGAACAAAACATTGGGGAAATCTTTCAGGCATGTTTAGGGAGTGTTCAGCAGACTTGAGCAAGGGGTGAGGGGGAGGGGGAATACCAAATTTCCACATGGGAACACTTACACTATGTGCGCCTTGGACGGTGCGGACTAAATTGAGCCCTTTCCAGACATAGATGTCCCCATTTAAAGCACCAGAGTAGGTGATGTCTTCTTTGGCACACGCAAGGCAAAGGATGGTCTGAAGATCCCCTGTTTTGCCAAATATCCCTCTTTTTGCAGTCAGGGCATTTCCACATAGTGTCCAAAACTAGAAAGTGATAAAATAAAAAGATCCAAAAATAGAGTGTTCCGAGGCATCTCATTATTAGTGTTTGTTTGCTTACGTTTGGAAACACGTTACACAATTTGCTGTAGGTGAACTAGGTACACACAATTTAACTTATTTTGCTATGACAGCAGACTGCAAAATGCTTTAGCCAGCTACCAGCATAAAGAAAACTTCTATTTTAAAATGTTCAAAGCTCCAAAATTCCAAAACATTACTAGTTATTGATTAGTAATATAAAATGTCAATGTTCCAAGAGTTGGGATAAAGTGGATGATGAAATCATCACGTTTTTGTTTGATTTCTTGTCCAATTATAGAACTAGGATAGATTCATTGTCGGGAAGTTTAGAAAAACAGAAAAGATAGAGAGGAAAATTGAAATTACCCACAACCTCCTGCTAACACACTGATATATCTTCTAGGCATTTTTTGGTGTATATAAATATATTTGGAAACAATTTCTTTCTAACTAAAAATGTTATAAATCGTCACTGTAAAAATGTTACTTAGAAATATGTTGTTAAATATAAGCTATATTTCTGTAGAGCCCAATAAATGCCTAGCTTTTCAGTTTAGTGGTATAATTTATCATGTGGAAAACCATAAGTATGAAGCTTGAGCTACTTTATAGAAGGTAGCAGGGCGACTCTGTGGTTATGTAGATATTAAATATTTTGCTTTAACATAGTTTTGAAAAAAATATATGAAATGGTATAACTCTAGTGCCCTATATATAGTCCCTCATAGTCTATAATGGCTCTTTACAAAGGTCTAGCATTTAATCTTCTTAGTACCCTTGAAAAGAGGCTAAGACAGATACTACTATCTCCATTTGGAAGTGAGGAACAGAGTATTAAGTGGTTTGCCGAAGGTCAGGGCTCGAGGGGGTGGGGGGGTCCTACAGGACACAATATTGAAATCCTGATCTTTGCCTTGAGAACTTTCAGTCTAATGAAGATACATGTAAAACAAGCGATAATTTCAAGGCAGCATATTCAGACTGCATACAGGTGGCAAGAGAATTAAAGGAGAGAGAAGCATGTTGAATTAACTGGGATGAGCCAGAGTAGGATTTGGATCGCTGGTGAGGAAGAAACTGCACTAGGGCCCACAAGAGCAGGTTAGGCAAATCTAGGTGACAGGACATGTGTGAGGAAGAGTCAGTGACAGCCCTAATTTTTGTGCCTGCAAGAGAGGAAGCAATGGTGGTCCTCTCAGAGTGGTCGGGTATCTGAGGTGGCCCTCAGGGAGGAGGAGAGACAGATGTGCAACCCTTTGAGACAATACAGGGTTCTTCTCATTAAAGAGGGAAGTGTCAACTCTAGTGATTCATTTCTTCGGATATTGTTTTTATGAAAAGGCATGAAAGTATACATGGAAAGAATAAAAAGATAGGTATAAGCTTTGGTAATACATTTACTATTTCAGTATTAACTTTGAACCTAAACAAACTATGAGATGTAACTACATACTACATGCCAAAGAACTTGCTGTTCGTGGTAAACCTTAAGATACGTTTCTTTCTCACCATGTCTCCCAGGTGTGAAGATTAAAAGGAGAGTAATTATTTTGTAATTATTATTGCTTTAACATGGGGTGTGTACCTCTGACCTGAGTTACTGGAATATTTCTAGATGGACAACCACAAAAAATAAAGAGAGACCATTATCCTCAGATACAAAGGGTTTCTGGTATAATGTAAAACATTGAAAGTAATCAAAGGACTCTCTAAAAAGGCACCTATAAATGTAATGCCAGGATAGGTATGAGATTTTCTCTGGAAAATGGCAAATCTTTGACCCATGATCTCTTCTTGAGCAGCACTTCCTGTTTGGAAAACAGTGACAGGTTAGGGTAGCAACCATCATTAAGCCCAAATCAAATGGAGAGTCATTGTCCACCTTCTCCAATCTCCAGTCACAGATTGAAATGCAAATTTTGTTGGAACTGGCAGCTCCCTTGGAGTTCATCTGGCCCAGGTAAGCTCCAAGGTCCCTTCTGTCTCTGACTAGAGACTGGAGAAGGATCAACAGTGTCCACAAAGCTGGTGAGCTCATGTGCTGTAGAACCGACCAAGCAGACAAGGCTCAACTGCCACTGTTTTTCAGGTGTTCGTTTCAATCCCTGTAACTTGCCTGTTTGCAAAACCAGGAAGGGTTTCACCCTGGCTACAAAAATTTCACATAAAAATATTTTCTTGGGGGTGAATCAAAGATTTTGCATTCACCTTGTGACTGGAATCATTCATTTGCTGTTAGGCAGCTTTTGGGGGAAAGGGTGGGGAATCCTAGAATTGGATGGAGAAGATATAGATGGTGAAAATAATTTGTTGAAGCCTGTTGAAATTTGATGTGGATTTCTTTCTAAAACAAATTAATAAAGAATGGCTGAGTGGGCATTTGCAGATTCTTCCATTTGAGGCAAAAATGCTTGTTTTTTGCTTAGGAAAAAAAAATGCCTAAAACTGCTAAGACACAACAAATTTTGCAGTATAAGCAGCTCGCAGTATTTTCAAATGAAGTTCCAGGGTTTTATGTTTCTCTGCTTCTAGATTTAACTGATTAAAAGTTAAATTAAGTATGGAAAAAAAATAGGAGGAAGCTAGAGAAGTCTACCAATTAAGCAGTTAATCTATTCTTTTTAATAATCTGGGGGGCAGGGGGGGTAGGTAATTAAGCCATGTATGATCATTAAGGAAATAATTTCTAAGTGGAAAGAGCTTTACACAGGGAGCCAGAGACTGAGTTTAAATCTTACCTGTGCCACCATTTTTGTGGTCCTAGGAAATGGGAGAAGTTAACATTATTGTGCCCCTACTGGTTCCATACACTATTTAATGTAACTCAATAAATTCAGGAGGTAGTGATCTCCCCACCCCTCTGTTTCCTAGAGGAAGAAACTCAGCCTCAGGGAGATTAAACAGCTTTCCCAGAGTCAAGCAGAGGGAGATAAAAGCAATATTCAATATAACCCCCTGGGTCTGGGCTTCCTCACTGTAGAATACGCAGGCTGGGGGATGGCTCCCGGGTCAGGGTCCCAGTCTTCCAGACACAGCCTCACGGAAATCGGGCTCATCGTGAGCTCACGCATTTCTTTACGTGTAGCTCAAAGAACTCCGTACCTTTGCCATATTTTAGACTGATCAGAAACTCACGTTGGCAGATACATATCTTGGATGAATAAAAAGTGTTAAGGTAATTAATATGTAACAGCTACAGTGTATTTTGTGGCCAGAATCTTTCCAAATATTGGTTCCCATGGAAAGAAATTTTTAAAAAGTAGGTTCTTTGGTGATGAAAACATTAATTATCTTTGAACATGTTATGGGCCAAGGACCTTTCTGCTCCCAGTCCCATGATCCCATGGGTGACCAATGCCTCCTATTAACTCCGGGCTGAATTGCAACCCCTCAACTGGGTTCTTCTGCCTTCCAAGCCCTCCCTAGCAAACTCACCTACCCACCAAGACTCAGCCGAAACACCCACCATTCCTCTAACCCAGTGGTTGGCAAACTGCGGCTCGCGAGCCACATGCAGCTCTTTGGCCCTTTGAGTGTGGCTCTTCCACAAAATATCACATGCGGGCGCGTGATACAGTGCAATTGAAACTTCGTGGCCCATGCGCAGAAGTCGGTATTTTGTGGAAGAGCCACACTCAGGGGGCCAAAGAGCCGCATGTGGCTCGCGAGCAGCAGTTTGCCGACCACTGCAACCACTTGAAATCTCTCCTTTATCCCTACAGAATTTCAGGTGTGCCTCTCTTACAGAATGTTCTGTTTTAATGTTTTAATTGCTCAACTTCTAACAAATTGAAAATAGGGTCAGTTTTTATTCCCTCACATGGTACAAATTCAACTTTTTATCAAATTTAATGAGTTTTCTATACTTCCAGGAGGGCTGTGTAAAACATAAGGAAGGATCCTCCAACTGCTGCTGAAGCAGAGTGCCTGTATTACAGCAAACGTCTTCTCAGGTTACAATCAGGTCTTTGCACAAGGGTTACAAAACGTTTATGAAGCCCTAAGGTGTTGGTAGGACACTGATGTTAGCTTCCTTCAAGGTCAGAGAAGCAGGCAAGGAGGCTTTAAATTTAAGGAAAGCCATGCAAAGTCAAGCAGTTTCTCAACACCAAATTATACATAAACACCTAAAATTTCTTTTCATACAAGGTAACAAAAATTTGAAAAAGAGAACTACTTTACCTTGATATGTTTTACTCCACAGCTAACCACTCTGTTTGGCTGATATGGATCCCAGGAAATATCAAAAATCTGTTTAAAAAAATATTAAAAGTTGCTATGTTGATCATTGATGTGTTTTTCCTTCTTTCAGATACGAGTCTAATTGCCGATACTCTACCCTGACACTTAGGACAGTGTTACCTGCACAGACTGGAGGATCTGGCTCCGGGATGAGTCAGAAATTGTTGACACATGTCTTATCACCTCATGTCTACTTACCTCAGGCCTGAACAGAGAGGTAATAGTTAACCACAATCATTGAGAACAAACTGGCGTATTTTTAAGTCTGTCCATGCAGGGTAATTGGATATGATGACATAGAATAATTTTTTATCAGATTTTCTCTAGCGCTTCATGCTAATATAACACTTTTGAGATAGTTTTACTAAATAAAAAGTAAAAAGGAATTACAAAATGCTTCATTTTAAGTAGGAAATTGTTTAATGGTCAACTACAAGTCAATGAGGCCAACAGTTTCTAGTGATCACATAAGTTAATATTCCTGCCACTAACTTAGCCCACCGAAAATGGTTCTTCAGACCATCATTATAATCTGGCCCAAGATACTATTATATTTTCAGTTTTCCAAGGAACTGAAGACATATTTGCCAGTTTTATTTATCATTCTTTGAGAACAGCTACTAAGCTGCTTGCAGGTAGTTCTACTTCTATTTGGGGGACAGGAAAGAGAAGATTGTCATCTTTTAGGGTCAAATTACCAGTGGCAATTGTTTAAAGTGCATATTCCCCTGGCGCACCAGAGAGAATCTGATTTAGTGGGTCTGAAATTGGGCCCAGACATTTTAAACAGACCCCAGAAGATTCTGAGGAAGGTGGTCCATGGACCACATTCTGTGAAACTCTAATAAAAGGAAGAACCCATTGCCAGGGCCAGAGTAAGCACTTAGGCTGTTAACTTCTCATCACATCGGAAGGAGCAATATGGACCAATCATCAGAGAAAGGAGGAGGACTATAACCTTCGATTAAGTAGAAAAGAGCAACTGTGGACCACAGAAAGAGCACTGGGTCCACGTACCAATGAGGTCCAAGTACCTACTTCAGCTATGCAAGCTCAGGCAACTCTTAGCATCTCTAACCTCATGTTCTATAAAATGGATGACACCATCTCAGTTTTGTTATGAAGTCTATTAAGATAAGGTAAATATGATCATTTTGCAGGCTGCAAGAGCACTCATTATACAAATTACCAGTTAGGATTAAGTATTTGGCCACTAAAATAATCTTGAAGATAATCATTTGCCCATAAGCAGCCAATAATCATTCACATTAGCATCCGTAATAAAGAACAAAACTAGGTGTGATACAAATTACGGCATCTGGGAGAACAATGTTCTAAAAGAACAGTATTTCATTAAAGCATTCTAGGCTAAAATTACAGAGTTCTCACTGGAATAGCATTGCGCTTACCTAACTGGAAAGTGCTTCCAGTAACAAAGCAATAGGAAATTCATGTATTGATCCAATCCAATTCAATTTACTTTATGAGATACAATGGGATCACAGCATAAACAAAAGCAGTAACACCCAAAATGTAAGCATTGCAAATATTTTCAACCTGTTCATTAAGTACTAAGTTAATACCAATTAACCACCAATAAGTTAATACCAACACCTGGGGTAGAGCCCAAGCATCACTATGCTGAAACATCACCTAAGGCAGTGGTCGGCAAACTGCAGCTCGAGAGCCACATGCGGCTCTTTGGCCCCTTGAGTGTGGCTCTTCCACAAAATACCACGTGCGGGCACGCATGTACAGTGCGACTGAACTTCGTGGCCCATGTGCAGAAGTTGGTATTTTGTGAAAGAGCCACACTCAAGGGGGCCAAAAGAGCCGAAGGGGCTCCCGACCCGCAGTTTCCCCCCCCCGCCTTTAGAGTATTTTTTTAAGAGTATTTTTTATGTGTAGTCAGGGCCTAGAACCATTGGACCAGAGGGATGCCAGGCCTCTTCCAACACTCAAGTTCCATTGATGGTCACTCCTGGGCTTCCTGAGAACTTTATCCTCGAGTACAATTTGCCCAAATAATTGTAGCAACAACTATTGGATCTCCTTACTATCATAATTCTCCATATGTGACTATACTATTCATATAAAAAAAAAACTTTTAGAGTTCACACAAAGCAAGAGACAATGAATTTAATATTTAATAAGGCCTCATTCTTCATAGGCACATATTGGGCAGAAATACAAAACAACTAGGAATCAATGTAAGACAATCACGCAAATTCATTATTTTTTTAAATTAGAAAATCAAGACTGTAAAATAGCCAAATTATTTTAATTATGCAAGTCACTGGAGAAATAGATTTCTTACCAGTTAATGCATATATGCCTGCTTCATGTCCTATCTTGCCAGCCATGACTACAAGGTAGCATCATTTCTGATCACACTGACTTCAATATGAATGACAAGCAGGCCACAATTTACATTCAAGTGTCTCAAATATAGCAAAGAACCACAACGTTGTCATTGCATTCATTTGAAATTCAAATGTATACGCTTGTAAACGTATTTTGTGAATACTAATTTCTAACAACTCTTTCCATTTCTAAATAAATACATCTATCTAAACTTTGCATATCATTTTAAAATTCAATTCCATTTTGATTTTATGAGGAAGCTATAAAAAGCAGTAACAACTTCAATAAAGCATCTGATCGCCAAAAGAAATGCCAACATAGCTATCAATCCTAAATTAATTTTTAAAAACAGTAAGTTTTTAAGTTGAATATGTATCATACATGTGGAATACTTACTTTAAGAAGTATTACAAACTCTGAGAGGCTCGATCACAATGCCCCCCCCCCCCATACAATCTATGTGGTTTGATCCAACAAGGTCTTCTTACCCGGTCCGAGTGGCCCGTGGCTGAGGCCAGCAGTTTCCCCTTCTTCCAGTCCCAAATGCAGACTGTGTTTTTGGCATCCAATCCCACAGAGGCTAAACGCTAAGATTAAAAACAATAATTTAATGGCAAGATTCCCCATTACCCATGCCCTTCTTTCAACAAATGGCCACTGATGATCTACTTTGGGCCAAGCTTTGAGCTCCTTATGAAACAAAAATCATTTTTCAAGATCCATCTTAAGTCCAAAGCATATACTGACTTCCATAGCATATACTGACATTTCAAAAACGTATCAGTTGCAACTTATCTGTCCTTAAACGTACGAGACATATGTGCAAAGATCTCATGAATCTCTGATTAATCGGTGGAAATCACAGGAACAGAACTTGAGGCAGGATTTGAATTTAATTTCTAAATTTAAGATCTTAATGTGAGATTTAAGAGAGTTCAGGATTTATAGTCTGAAAGCCTCAACAAACTGCTACAATTAAAGGGTCTGATAAACACACAGAGGAGAAATCTCAGAAATAAACGTTATTTTCATTCTTTTTAATTTCCATTTCACAAACATCTCAAGTGACTAAAGAAGGATACATAATTCTAGTAAAAGTAAACTGGCACTCCATCTCCCAGTCCAAATTCTTTGGATTCATAGAAGAATTTGACCTCAAAGGGAAAGGAAAATTTAACATGAGTATACACATCTAAAGTGTCCAAACACATATTAGGAACACCAAAATCAGAGGTCTAGCAGGATACCACTTCTAAGGAAACAGCACTGTGTAACAGATAGAGGTCTGGACTGGAAGTAAGTAGATTTGGCTTCTATTTTAATTTTGTGAGTAGCCAGATATAACACCATGAAAAATTAATTAACCTCCTTAAATTTCAGTTTACATAGATTTTTGTGTGGATCAGTGAAATAATGTAAGTCAAAGGGTTTTAAAAATATAGTATTACCCAAGAATAAGAGTATCCTAGCTTATGTATTTCATCAAGTATATTTGAGTGTGCATGTAAGTGTGCAAATGTATGGAATGATAGATGGCCATGTATGACTATATGTATACATGTTAGTATGAAGAGATTATTCAGATTTCTTTACTATAAATGACTTCCCATTAGAAATATTTAGTATTAAAAATACATAGCTGGAGGTTCTTAAATGTGCCCTTAAGAAAGGAGGTCTTTGCTGTAATTTTTATTGAGTGTTCCAGCAACGCAAATGATTTTAATACATTCTTTATTTTTATCCATATAAGAAAATTCAAAGTGGGTGAATTCCATTCAGCTTATTCGTTTTCTTTTAAAAAAAAATAAAAACAGAAAAAGCAGTTAACATAAACACAGACACTAAAGTAAACCCACATTTCTTGACTGAGAAAAAGCCGAATGGAATCTATTTTGTTCATTTGTAGTGACAGACCCCACAGCTACCTGAGGAGCATTTCTATTGCCTTTTGCTGTCTGAGAGGGGATGGGTCATTTGTCATTTTCTAAATATCACTCGGTTCCCGTGGACTCTGTCTAGGGAATGAGGCAGACCTGAAGCAATAGGCATCGGCAAGGCAGGAAATGCATCATGGCCAACCAACAGGAGGTTATTCTTCTCAACTGACGGGGAAGTCCACCCCTACCCCCACCCTGCAAAATGGAGCCTAAAAGTTAAAGCTGATTTCCTCAGTCACATGACATTTTTCTCATCATGATTTACAACAGCAATTTTCAACCGGTGTGCTGCAAGAATTTTTAAAACATGCAATATGTGACTATTTAGTCAGGGGCACTGACCTTTTTTTCCTTAAACTGTCAAATAAAAATATGACAGTGGTCGGTCAGTGTGAATGAATCAAAATGATACTTTTTTTTTCAGATGGGCAAAACATATATTTTTTGTTTGCCTCAGAATTTTAGTAGTTTGTGTTCCATAAGATGAAAAAGATTCAAAATCACTGCTTTAGAAACAATTCTGATAAAGAATGTTTGCTAAGAAAACAAAACCAAAATCAGATTAGAGAATGTGCATGGGAGTACATCTGACCATACATTTACACCTGGGCGTGCTCATGCATTCTGACCCGTTCATTTAATTTAGTCAGGAAGCCAATAACTGCAAGTTTGAAGAAATGTCACTAACCAGCCTTTTCTCTTTAGATGTGGATATACAATGGAATGCAGGCATTATTCTGACTAAATTAGATGAGATTACAGAGTGCTAAAATAAAAAACATATATATCAGGGTCCATATTTTAGTGACTCTAGTTCTAGGGGGAAAATAATGATCACTACTCTCTCAAGTTAGCAGACTATACCAAATATATAAAGGTTAATTGTTTAAAAAGTAACTCAACCAGGTCAAGTCCTAGAATCCACTGAACTTCACACAAATTCAGTTTGGCCAAGCCTTTGTGAAAAGTTTGGCAGGTCTTTCCACAGCACAGACTCAGAAATTTGACAAAAATTGAAGAAATTAACTGGCAGAAATATGGAGGGTTAAAAAAAAAAGAGTCAAGGTATTCTAGGAACATGGAAAGTGGAGAAAAGCATGGCCTTAGTGAGGAGGCGAATGCAGTGGGAGCGGGGGGGGGGGTGATCCCTCGAGATTTCCACTCTGTTGGAACGAGTTACTTTCAGGGGCAAAACTTGAGGTAGAGAGGACTGCCTGAGAAAGGGTCTGAAGGTGCAAAAGAGCAAGGTGTGGCAGAGGAATCTCGCTGACTTGTCCAATTTGACCACAAGGGGATAGTGAAGATGAGGCTAGAAAGTTGGTTAGTCCAGAATGCCCAGCTACAAAGTGTGGACTTCAATCAAGGGGTACTCTAAGCTTTTCTTGTTTTTAACCAATTCGCTAACAATGCTTTTTCTGTTGGTGAAATGTATTATCAAGAAATGTACTGTGTGGACCAGTTAAGAGGTTACTTACATTGTCAGGCATGACATGGATTTGGAACTTAAAAGATGGTGGCAGAGAGAATGGGACGGAGAGGATGAATGTCAGAGTTACCGTAAAGAAACTAATAAATGCACATGAATTGTGCTTGAATTGTGGGGAAGTGGGTAGCGAGAAGTTATTAGAAGTGACCTGAGGGGAAAGAGTCAGAGAGAATTTTGTGTGTGTGTGTGTGTGTGTGTGAATTATTAGGAGAGGATGTTATCTTCCGAAAACAAGGGGAACCAACGTGATGCTCATAGCTTGAGGCTTGTGGAAAAAGTTTGGTCCAACCCTCATTCCAAAGAGGAAACTAACAGGAAGACAAAGTGGAACTGCTGAGTCATGATGGGCCTGAGCAGCATGAGCTCATGACTTCCTTTCTGGGGGCTTTTTACCAGATGATGAGACTGGGTGAACCAAAATGGGTTTATTCAGAGCTGGTGTCAGTGCCACAAGCTTGGAAAAGGGTCAAACAAGTGAAGACTCTCAGAGGCTGCCACAGGAGACAGCAAGGGTTGATAAGACTTTCCAAGCCCAAAGGCTATGTGCATTATAATTCTAAGTGACTTATGAGGAATCCTTATAGGAAATGAAAACAGAAAAGGATACACACCTGTCCATCTGAGTCGAAAGCCAGGCAGGCGACTCCATGTGTATGGACATCTTTAAGAATAGACACAGTCTGGACATTATAGGAATCCCATATACATACATATGGCTCCTTCCCAACTTGGCCAGTTGCAACAAGAGTTTTATCTGGGTGTAAGGCAAGGCTGAAAAAGAAAAAGGCCTCTTTTCACATCCTCCTACTGAGCACAGACAAAAACACCCATCACCTTTTATCCACACTTGTTTCTCATTTTAATCATCTAACCAGAAAAAAGCTGAACTGTCCCCGTCACCAAATAATTAATTACCCAACTGGTCTAAATATAAATGTTCAACTTCGGCAAAAAGAGGCTTAGCACAATTTAACAATAATCTCATCTAATTTTTACCCACTTGATTACCTTGAGACAGTATTATGATTATAATGCTATGATTAGAAAATCTTCTACTTGTCTTTCTCTGACTGGCTTCTTTCACTTAGCTTAATGTTCTTTAAGACAAGTACCATATGATTTCACTCATATGTGGAATCTAATGAACAAAATGAACTAATAAGCAAAATAGATCTAGAGAACAGGCTGACAGCTGTCAGCCAGGGTGGGCTGGGTTAGGGGAGTGGAGGGATTGAGCAAGAAAGGGGAAAAAAAGAGAGAAAGAACTCGTGGACAATAAATAAATAAATTTGAAAAAATATTCTATGAGGTTCTATAACTGCTTTATGTCATGATATTTACTTACTGATTTTTGAAAATATTATTCAGCTTTCAAATTAGCTTTTGACTTTATTTTGGGGGGAAATGCTGTTGCTAGGAGAAAAAGCTCTTCTCAGAATTAATTAAACCTGCTTGCAGAAGCTGGCTACCATCCTCATTAGGATTTCAAAGCATGGAGGGGTCCAGAGTCAAGTGCTATTTCTGTTGCCATAGATCATGTATTTTAAATGGAATTTTCTGTTTTGCATCAGTTACTATGACACCAAGAGAACTACTAATGACTATGCTTGTGTAGCATTTTTCCCTCTGCAGTCCAATCAAAATAAAACTTTGTCAAATACCAACTACAATTTCTAGGAGTCTGTAGCAGTCAAGAGGGAGAAATGCTATCACTATTATTCCTAACTGAGAAATCACTGTTTTAAATTTACTGTGTAAAGAAGCTGTGCCTTTATAAAAATAGGTATTGGAAATTTAAAACAAAACAAAAAAGAGCGTGTTACCTATATATTTTTTTTAAAAAGACTAGCAAATGACTGTTTACCCAATAGCAAAAGTAAGTGTGCGTTTTTCTTTTCCTTTTCAGCACCTATAATAAAAGCATAATATGCTAATTAGACTGGACAGCCGAACAACCTTCTAGACGTCCTTCCAGACGACCTTCTGGACAAAGCCAGGGCTTCGAGGGCCAAGCCACTTGCACGAATTTCGTGCATCGGGCCTCTAGTGATTTAATAAGAGTATATACTCTGAAATCAGACACCTGGACTTGCACACTGGTCCTCTGAAGCTACTGCTTGATTTCTCTTGCCTTAGGTTCCTCATCTAAAAACTGAAGATGCTACATAAAAATAGGGAACATAATGGATATAGAGCATTTAGCACAGGACCTGGCACAAAGTTTCTTCATCACCATCACCTGTGTGACTGGTCTCAGGTAGATACAACCAACATATGCTATGTCTCTGGGGATACAGTGGACTTTCAAAAACAAACTACTCCTGGTTCCCCCTGACTCCATGTGTGGTCCCCACAATTCTGCAGTCACCCAGCACCACCGGTGTCAGGTGGCCCTCACCCCACTGTGCTCCCTTCCTGGGCCTCCTGCCAAACCTAGTGCCATCTCAGGCAGAGGACCCACCACCATGCCATTCCTCACCGACAGGCCCTCCCTGGGCCCGATTTCCCTGGAATTGAGTGCAGCTCATGTTCCCAAGCGCGCGCACACACACACACACACACACACACACGCCCCTCCCTCCCCCCCCCCACCACCAGGTCCGCAGTCCAGGCGCTGCCTGAGGCCAAGGTCTGCTCCACTTGCCTTCTCCCGTCCAGGCTGGGTGCTGGGTCGGGTTTACGTTGTTCTATTTGGGCAAACAGGTGCAAAGAGGTGCGGTGAGAGCCCACGGGCTGCCCTTCGTGGCAGCGAGTGCAACTCAGGCCCCAGCAGCTGCTGCCTCGACCTCTCTCTGTAGACGAACCCCGAACTCACAGGATCTTGGAGTTCTACAGGGGCCGGCAGAGGAGGCCTGGGATGGGGAACACCTGGGCGCCCCAGGTACTCTGGCCCCTCATCCTGATGGATGCGTCCAGTGTCTGGCTCACACCACCTGCCAAGCAAACCCCACTCCTCCTTGAGGCGTCGCCTTCCCCCACCCCAAGCCAGAGTCACAGTGCAGGGCGCTTTGGCCGAAGGGCGTTGGGGACCAGGTTCTGGCCTGAAGGCTGTGCGGGGGGCGGACCCCAAGGCCAGGGGGACAGGGGTTGGGAGGGGGTGGGGGTGGGGCTGAACTGTGCGAGGGCCGGGCCGCGAGTCTATCACCTTCCAGGAGGACTAAGGCTCCGGGCATCGGTGTGGGCTCTGGCTGGGCCGCTGGGCCCCAATCTACCCTCCGCTAGGTCCAAGGCCGCAGCAGCCCAAGCGCACTGCTTCACTGCAAACCCCGGGCCAGGCCGGCGGCAGCGAGGTGTCTTGGAGCGGTTCCCGGACCATGGCTGCCTGTTCCTGGAGCCTTTTCCCTGCAGAACAGCCTCAGGGCGCTGCTCCCTCCCAACTAGGGACTCTGCGCCCAAGCCCTTCCATCAGGAATGAGCTCCTGGGCCAACCCCCCAGCAGGGATGCCCACGGGTTAGGGCGGGGCCTGAGGGAAGGGGGTGGGGCTTCCCAGGACCTCAAACTAGGTGCAGGTGCGCTCTGTGGCTTCAACTGTGTAGCGGGGGCGGGAGGATAGGCTGGGAGACTGAGCATCCGGGGAGGCCCCAGGTGCAGCTGCTGAGACCAGTCTCCCCAGAGCAGTGGTTCTCAACCTCGGCTGCACAACTAGAAATCCCTGGGAATCTTTTTAAAATCCTGATTTCTGGGCCTCATCCTCCGGAAATTCTGTTCCTTTGTTATGGGGTGGGGCCACAACATTTAGTAACAAAGAAACAGAATTTCCGGAGGATGAGGCCCAGAAATCAGGATTTTAAAAAGATCCCCAGGTGATTCTAATGTGCAGCCAAGGTTGAGATCCACTGCCCTAGATGGTCAGGCACACATTCCAGAGACATAAATGAAACTCTCTGGCTGTAATCAAAGCTTCTATTTAAACACGCTTGAAACTGGGGAACTTGTGTGCATATATGCATAGCCCATGGACACAGACGGCCTGGGATGAGCAGATGAGGGTTGGAGAGGGTCAATGGGGGGAAAAACCTGAGGACAACTGTAACACTTTCAACAATAAAGATAAATTTTAAAAAATAAATTAAAAACATTTGAGATACTTGGTAGATCCCTGAGGTTCAGAAGTACCCAGCTTTCATGATTCCTGACTTTTCTCGGGTCCTTGAATGAAGTGGGAAATGAAATAGACAGTTTTCAACCAATATTTAAAGAGGTCTTCAAAATAATTCATCAGTCTAAGTTACTCAATTAGCAGTGTGACCTAAAAACATCTCATTGTGGATTTGAAGTATTTTTACTCTGGTTATTGGTGTGTTTTTTTCATTCATAGCAAAGCCCATAAATTTATCACATTTATGAAAAGTTCACATTGGAATTTTTTTTTAATTGTTTTGGAGTGTTTTTTTCCGGGGGAGGAAGGGGTTGCCAGAAGTTCCTTTATGCTGTTCTTTACATCATCTCTTCCCAGCCCATGAAATCACATTGACCCATGTTCCTCCTTTGTCATTTGAATACATTAACAAAATTATCTATTTCTCCTTTTCTAAGGCAGGGGTCTCTGACCTCACTTCTCTGGCTTGCATGCAACACATTTGCTTAAAATGACTCATAATGTTCCTATTTATCCATGTCCATGTCAAGAAAAGGGAGAATAGAAAACAACCTTTGTTCACTTGGCCAACTGTTACTTTCCCATCAGCTTCCCAGAAATGCCACTCCTTTCATCTGGGTAACACAATGAAGCATCCATGAATCTTCTACAGCACCGCCAAGGGGCATTTCCTTTTGTTTTAAATTTGACATATCATTTCAACAGCACTTTTTATATCTCATAAGAGAGGGCGAAATAAAACGTGACCAGCATTAACCACTGCATTTGCAAGAGCATAAGGGATCAGTAATGGGGCAATTGCTGAAGCACTTATTTAGTAAGCATGGTTGAAGCTACCATCAAAGTATCGATTCCCTTTTCCCCACATCTATTCACTTAGGAATTTGAGAATTTCATAGAAAGTCATTTTGAGCAGGCTGTGCTTTTGTCTAATCCAACACATCCTTTGAAATTTTAGTTCAGAAGCATCTAAATGGCAGGAATGAAAATACACCGCCATATATATATGGCAATGGATGCTCAGTGGATGCTTGCCTGTAAGGTGAACAAAGAAATATGCGCACGCGCGCACACGCGCACGCACACACACACACACACACACACACATACAAACGCTACCCTACAGTAATGCCTTTAGATCAACCAACAGATTAAAAGAAGGTGGATCCCCTTATCCTATTAAGCGGCCGTGGTGGAAAGACTCATGACCTCTGAATTCCTTCTGATGAGATTTCATGAGAAATGACCTACTATGTGTCCTTCCTTAGAGAAAATTACAGAAGTGGAAAATATCACTATTACACAAAATACCCTATTCTGGGCTTTCCTTCATACCCTTTACCACGTCATTACAATGTGAGTCTTTCTGTGACTGGGTGTATTGGTACCACTTACTTCTATTTTAAGTCTACCTGCCATGTGAAAGTCTTTAAATCCAAATCTGTTTCTCTAAGAAAAATTGCATCATAGTCACAACAGCAACGTCCTAATATTAAAACTTTAAAAATCTACTCCCTTTCACTGAGGGTCTCAGTACAATGGAGGTCTCATTCCACACCTACATGTGAAGGTTGGTGTCATTCTAGTTTCTGTGGTACCCAGTACTGCAGTGATTGTGTTGCACGCATAGCTACAAACAAGGGATCAAGTTTTTAAAGAACTGCTTTTCTG